GGGCCTGCCAAAGTGTGCTCGTCAGTTGGAACCCAACGTTCTGATGCTAAAAATTAGCATCAATGCTAAAATAAGCTGCAATGTATTCAATAGCATGTGGAGAGTCACAAGCATGTTGAGTAACATGGACTTACTCCATTCAGCATGTTAAACTTAGTGTATAAGCTAAAACTAGCCAATTTGGTAATTATGGCTAATAAATATACAAAATAGCTAAAAAGCTTATATTAGGGAAAAGGCTACTGCTACTGTGCACTGTCTTCTGAATCAGAAGTTTACGTCATGGTACTTGGTTACCAGAAAACATACTCATCTCTTAGCAACAGATTAACAACAAATATTGTTATTGTTCAAAAACATAAGATTTCTTCTGCTCTTCTGAAATATTACTTAACTTAAACTACTTACTACATAACAAGAATTGTGCATTTGGTGAATTTGGTGGAAAGGTGAAAATTTTATTTTTTTTGTCATTGGGGGTAAATATATTATAAACAGATATTCAACACAAAGGTAAAATTCTGATTTATTCTTGGTGGCAGTTCATTACCAGACAAAAAACGTTCATCTCTTAACACTAAATTAATAATTGTTTATAAAACATAAGGTCTTTTGAATTAACTGCTTATCTGCTTAGACACAAGAAATTTACAAAAGTAAAAATCAGATGTTTACATCATGGCACTTGGCTACCAGAAAACACGCTCGTCTCTTAGCAACAGATTAACAACAACTATTGTTACTGTTCAAAAGACATCAGAAAACGTACTCATCTCTTAGCAACAAATTAACAACAAATATTGTTATTGTTCAAAAACATAAGATTTCTTCTGCTCTTTTGAAATATTACTTAACTTAAAATACTTAGTACTTAACAATTGTGTATTTGGTGTATTTGTTGTTGTTTTTTTGTCATTGGTGGTAAATATATTATAAAACGGAAATTCTAGACAGAAGTAAAAAATCTGGTTTATACTTCGTGGTAGTTTGTTACCAGAAAAAAAAAAAAAAAAAAAAAAAAA